AAAAAAAAAAAAAAAAAAAGTTGGCCAGGTGTGGTGGCTCACGCCTGTAATCCTAGCACTTTGGGAGGCTGAGGTGGGCGGATCATGAGGTCAAGAGATCAAGACCATCCTGGCCAACACAGTGAAACCCTGTCTCTACTAAAAATGTAAAAATTAGCTGGGCGTAGTGGCGCGCACATATAGTCCCAGCTACTCGGGAGGTTGAGGCAGGAGAATCACTTGAACCTGGGAGGCAGAGGTTGCAGTGATCCTAGATCATGCCACTGCACTCCAGCCTGGTGACAGAGTGAGATTCTGTCTCCAAAAAAAAATAGTAATAATAATTGAGGCAGGGTGTGGTGGCTCATGCCTATAATCCCAGCACTTTGAGAGGCAGAGGCTGGCGAATCATCTAAGATCAAGAGTTCTAGACCAGCCTGGCCAACATAGTGAAACCCTGTCTCTACTAAAAATACAAAAATTAGCCAACCGTGGTGGTGCACGCCTGTGCTCCCAGCTACTAGGGAGGCTGAGGCATGAATTACTTGAACCCCTGGAAGGTGGCAGAGGTTGCAGTGAGCTGACATCATGCCGCTGCACTCGAACCTGGGCGACAGAGCAAGACTTCGTTTAAAAAGAAAACAAAGTTTGAGTTTGAGACCAAGTAAACAAGAATAATTTGGCCGGGCACGGTGGCTCAAGCCTGTAATCCCAGCACTTTGGGAGGCCTAGGTGGGTGGATCACTTTAGGTCAGGAGTTTGAGACCAGCCTAGCCAACGTGGCGAAACCTGGTCTCTACTAAAAATACAAAAATTAGCCAAGTGTGATGATGGGTGCCTGTTATCCCAGCTACTTGGGAGTCTGAATCAGGAGAAGAGCTTAAACCCAGGAGGCAGAGGTTGCATGGAGCTGAGATTGTGCTACTGCATTCCAGCCTGGGTGACCCCATCTCAAAAAAAAAAAAAAAATGAAGTACTGACTGGGCATGGTGGCTCATCCCTGTAATCCCAGCATTTTGAGAGGCTGAAGCAGCTGGATCGTTTAAGCCCACGAATTTGAGACCAGCCTGGACACCATAGTGAGACCCTGTTTCTACAGAAAAATATAAAAATTAGCAGAGCATGGTTGTACACACCTGTAATCCCAGCTATTTGGAAGGGTGAGGTAGGAGAATCACTTGAACCTGGGAGGCAGAGGTTGCAGTGAGCCAACTTCAGCCTGGGTGATAGAGTGAGGTTCCATCTCAAAAAAAAAAGGTTCCTGGACTGGAAACTTGCATGTGCATGTAAGGCTTGTGCTTTCGGGAAGGTAGAAGGAGGAAGAGCCATTTCTTCTGGCTCTTGAGTTGGCTGTGGTGTGACTCCTTTTGCTTCTTGTTTCTGGTCCAAACACTTACGAGGAATCATCTTTGAGTCTGGGTTTTCATCAGCGAGTGTAATCAAGCCAAGACGTGTCTGGGCAGGTTCCCTGTAGCACAGACCAAAGAAAACAGCAACATGGAACAAGATAAGTACAGTAGGTTTAAACTTGGATTCTACTGGAGAGCTCAGTCAGGAAGATAATTCTATATCCCTGGGCCTCCTAGAGTTTTCTATTCTGATTTTATTGGTTTAATGTTATTTGTTTGAAAGCACCAGAAGTTAATTTTGGCTAACACAAGCAAAAAGAGAATTTATTGGAAGGATATAGAATAGCTTACAAAACAGAAAAGTTGATGAGCCAGTCCTCAGAAAGGATGGGAGCCAGAACAGCCTGAGGATCTTGGGAGCAGGAACTTCTGTGGTCTGAATAAACATCATGAATATCCAGTTCCTGTTTTTTTGTGTTTAGAAGTCAAAGTCCAGGGAGAGAGGCCCAGTTGGTGTAGCTTGGGTCAGCACAGGGCACCTTGACTTCATAGTTAATACAGACTAAATCCTGTGGAGTGAGGTGTTTCCCCTGAGCCACACCAAGCTGCTGTTCCTCATAGAAGGGGATGACTACTGGGCAGGCAGGAACAGGAGGTGCCCTCTGCCTTCACGCTCCCAGGAATAACTATAGGACCAAGAGCAGAGACTTCTCTACCAGTGTGAATTTTGCTTGGTGACCATTATTCAGAGGCCTAAGCTTTTGGGTGTTTTTATGTTGAGGACCAACCCCACTGAACATTATTCATGGGTAAATCACTATTTGTACAACAGTGTGTTTTGGGCAGGCCATTCCTATATAAAGGTTTTCCCCAAGGACTTCTCTCAGTGGGGTTTGTGCATAGAGAAGCATGGGGAAGAATGCCTTGTTTTGACAGAGTAGCTGACGGTGACGTCTGTTACACAGGCATGGTTTCCTGTGCCACACATGAGAAAAATGCCCTTTGGGGAGTGGCCTTTTAGCATTGCCTAACATAGGAGGGAGGGAGTTGGGCGGGCGGAGAGAGAGAGAGAGAGAGAGAGAGAGAGAGAGAGAGAGAGA